TGTTCGTTTGCTTTACTTTTTCTTTAACTTTTTTTTTTGTAAAATTGAGTATGAGACCTTTAAAAACCCAATAAAAATTAAATAAATATTCTTTTCGTCCAAGGACTAAAAGGACTGTATAGTTTACCAAAAGTCTGGATGCAAATCTTGATCGCTCAATGGTCAGAAATGTCAAAACTTGATGTAGAACGTGCAGTGTGGCGAATGTTGCTTGCATCCGTAGTTTAGCTTGAACGGATGCATTGCTATTAGTTAATTTATGATTGATGAAAATCCAAAATTCTTGATTTACTGACTTATGGTTAATCGGAATTCTTGAAGGTTAATGTTCAATATTTTGTAATGCATGGCACCGTAATCCGCGCTTGAAGGACCATTTGGATGTGTTTGTGACTGTATGCTTCTTTGTACTTTTCGTTTAACATAAAAATTACTTAAAAATGCAAACTGAATAATTGGAAAATATGTCATTACTTTTATTAACCATTAAAAGAATGCCCCGAAGAGCCAGTGTTTTTTGCAATTTTCTTGGTCGAAAATACCACAATATAATTTAATAGTTAAGATGTATCCTTTGGGACTATCATCAGGCATAATATGAAATAATAAAAACTCTCATCTCTCATCACAATAATAATATATTTTATTTAAATAATATTGTCGCGACTAGTTTCGGCCAAATAGGGCCATTCTCGGGCCCGCAAACAAAAAAAAACAAAATGTTAAGTAAACATTAAAAATAGTAAAAGGTAAGTTAAAAAAGATAATGTGTTGATTAAACAAAAATTATCATGATTGCATTCTGTTAGATAGTTTTTATACTTTTTATCAGTGCCTGGGGTAGAATTCTCGAGTCTCGAGTGTGTTATAGTGTTATTTATCAAGCATTTTCAACTTTCTAAGCATGTTATAAGCGTTATAACACATCGTTAATTCCAAATGGATTTTTATAAATAAACTTCTTCTTTCTATGCTGTCACTCTTTAATAATGTTTTGATTTTCAACAGCCACCAAATGTTAATTTTATCAAAATCTGTCTCATCCATATTTACGGTCCATAAAGTCGCATACGAATTTAAATTCGAGCACTTTAGACCACTCGTGTTGAATTCACCTGACATTTGTCGTATCCTCTTTTCGAGGATACACTTTTTTAAAATCACCTAGTTGCTATTCGTTATTTGACTAATCTTGCATGCGAATCGAGGTATTGGACATTCGAGAATACTACCCCTGGGGTTTTCTGAAGCCCCGACGCCTTAGGTAAAAAGCACCCCTAAAAGATTATTATTTTTTTATGAGGCAACGGCGAGTTGTGCCACATTTTGACTTAGTGGGATTTAATCAAGTACTTCACTACTACATTCACTGAAAATTTCAGTTTTCTAACACCCCGGCGTCATAGGTTTAAACGCACCCCTAAATATGTATTATTTTTTTACGAGAAAATTATGCGTTGTCCCGTATTCTGGTTATTTGGGATTTAATCTGCTACTTGACGACTACTTTTCCTAAAAATAGGGAATTTCAAAAACCGTAGCGTCATAGGTTAAAACGCACCCCTAAAATATTATTTTTTTATGAGGAAACGCCGATTTGTGCCACATTCTGACTAAGTGGGATTTAATCAGGTACTTCACGACTACATTCACTGAAAATTTCAGTTTGCTAAAACCCCGGCGTCATAGGTTTAAACGCATCCCTAAATATGTATTTTTAACAACCATACGAATTTGGTATGCGACATTTTCCGTGTGCGACAATTTTCATGCGAGACTCGAGAATTCTACCCCTGACCTAAATCTATTATTACCATAATATCAACTCTATTTTAAAACACTATTGCGCAAGTATAACTTGTAGTTGGCCTTTTTTTAATTAATTAATGTCAACACCGCATTCATAGAAATGTCAATCATTTGTAAAGTGTTTTTAATGCGAATTTTTATTGTAATATAATATAATAGATTATATGTAATTGAATAGGTAGGTGCGCAGAACGAATAAATCAAGTCAATATATTTTTAAATTAAATTAAAAATCTTTAGGTGAGAGAAAATACCCGAAACGATTTTTTTTGCTGTGAAAATCGGTTATAATTCCTCGTGGTACCACAAATCGAGCTTATTAAAACTCGTTTTGACATTTCAACGGCGAGATCTCACAACCCAAATCGTTATTTTCTTCTTTTAATATCTTCATTTGACAACCGACTTTCGTTGCGCCCTTCAAGAGCTCAGAATGACTATTTAATGGAGAACCATGTCGAATTTGGGCCGTTCGAGGCAATTTTTAGATCGAGGTCTTTGTGTTTTTATAATTAAATTTTCCAATTTCTTCTTCTTCTTTGTTGGGTCGGTAATTGGCGGTACGATTTTCGGATTTTATTTAACCCTTATTATTTGGAGATTGAAATTTAAATTTGGCCTTGTTACGACTTGATTATTTTTTTTTTCGGTTTATTTTCGTGTGAAAGGAAATTATTAACCAAAGTATACGGCGTATAAATTAGTAAAGCGAATTAATCCAAGACAATTAAGGATGTATTGCTAGACATTTCATAGATATATAAATAAGGCCTTCGATTCAATCAGTGGAGTAGCAATAACGACATATAACTAATTATTGTTACAATAGTTTTTACAATAATTGTTACAATAATTGCTACAATAATTGTTACAATAATTGTTACAATAATTGTTACAATAATTGTTACAATAATTGTTACAATAATTGTTACAATAATTGTTACAATAATTGTTACAATAATTGTTACAATAATTGTTACAATAATTGTTACAATAATTGTTACAATAATTGTTGCAATAATTGTTACAATAATTGTTACAATAATTGTTACAATAATTATTGGTATATAAATTAAAATAACAAACTTAACACTTTAAATTGTGGCCTGTGGGCTAATAATTATGCTTTTAAATTTGATTGTAAGTAGAGGTAAATCATGTGGGTATCAAAGCCGATGCTCTTCTGGAGCAAACTCTTTCAGATATGTCATATGCAGAGTCGGTTATTGAACACGTTCCAATACGCTTTGCTAGTGTCGAAGTGAAAACAACAGATTGTTAGCATCAGTGCAAGCAGAAAACCAATAATATCAACGTTGCCGGGTACGCTGTTCGATTTGAATAGACACTTGGCCGACTTGCTGCATTGATATTCGTTTCTTGCTCGTCCTAACATAAACCCTTTATTTGTAGTTTTCACTTGGAAATATTTCAGTAGCCGACACTGTATATGGTGCGACTGACTTGACAAATCATAGTAGCCGTGATCGTGTACCTTTGTTTAAGGCATTTATTTACGTTTGTGTTCATAAATTTGTATTGACATTTTTAATAAAATACATTTTTTATAATTTTTTTTATTAAATGATTAAAAATAATATAAAATATGCAATTGTTTTTAAAACGTAACATAGAAAATGAAAATGGACTAAATATTTGGCATTGATTTGAATATTTATGTTTGTCATGATCATAAAACACTGTAGTAAAATGACAGATGAGTGCAATAAAATTTTTATTGCACTACTGCAATAAAGAACCAGTTTTTTCACTAAATATAGTTCAATAAAGTTTTGTTTTTTGCATGAACGTAGAAGAATTAAATTTGAATCCATAAAAGTAGTTTATGATTGCAGACGATATTCTAAAGAGTACCTATAGAGACAAAGAATGTTTAGAAGCAGTTCAACTAGACGGAAACAATATAGAAGTGGAACCTTCTCTTTAATATAGTTAAAGATGCATTTATTTATAGATTATTAAACTCTTTTACGATATATGGTAGCCGAAATATATTATTCTTATCTAATGTATTAGGGAGATACTCAATCATTTCTATTACTTCAATCTTTGGCTTCGAGCATTTTCTCAATACGACCAGATGGTTTATTGCTTTACTTGATGATCTTTTTTTTGGATATATCTATTTCCTCTGTTTTCATGTAATTTTCCTGTTTCTGCATTTATTTTGTTCTAACATTCTTCTTCTCTATGTCTTTAACGTCTAAATATTACTTCTATGTTTTCTTCGTTACTTGTTCCTCTGTTAGTTACTGATCGTTTATTTTTCATATTTGTTTCCGAATTGTTCCTTTTATAATTACATTATTTAAATATTGGTGTCTAGTGCCTAACCATTGCAGGGCTACATATTTTGCTTCACGTGCTAGACAACATGATCCTTTCTTTGCCTTTTAACGAGTTTAATGCGTAGTAGGTTTCTAATATAAACTTAATATTCCTAAACATGGAATAGGTCATAAACACAAGTGGCTTTAGTCGGGAAAGCAATTAGATAAGGTATATTTAGTATAAATTGATTGCAAACTTATTCATAACAAAAGCAATTTAGTTACGTATTTATATTTTTTTTTTGTCAAAAGATTTAAAAAGTAATTCGTCGTAAAGAAAATATCATTTCAATGCATTGTAATGTAAGAATTGTGCGGAGGTCTTCTTAATATTTTTCATATCGTAAAAAGTAATGGATTGGAAACACTAGCCGAAGTTATTAACGTGGAATCGTAAAATTTAATGTGCATGAAAAATACTTGAAATATTTTTTTATGTTTATTTGCTGGAGTTCGTGTGGATATTTCAATATAAGTATTTTCTTTTTATTTTGCACGATCATTCTTTTTCTGTTAGTCTACGGGGATTGTTTGATATGTAGCTTAAATCCATAGGAAAACATATTTATTTTAGTTCACTGCGCTTTAGACATATGCATGAAGGCTCACCACTTTTGGTCCTTCTCTAATCTTTCAAATATCTCAATTTTGTAGCCAGATTTCTCCATTTTGTGGCCATGTTACGCTAGCACTGTAATGCGGTATACGTGACGCCAAATTTGTTTATAAATAAAATCAAATATATGTCGCAAATTGTAAGAGAGAGATAATAAATAATATTATTTTCAATTATAAATCATAAGGGAAACATTGTTTTTAATTTGGCACATTTTGTTACAGGAAAAAATCGTCAAATAGTTTACTCGATAACATCAGGAAATGAAGCAGGTGATTTCGAAATTCTACAGAACGGTTCCATCTTGACCAAAAATCGATTGGATAGAGAAACGCAGGCCATTTATAATCTTGTTGTTACAGCTACAGATCAAGCTGTGACTCCAGAAAACAGACTGTCATCGACTGTACAGGTGAGTTTACATGAAAGTGCTAAAATTTTTCAAGTTAGTAAAATTATAAAAATGAAAACATTGAAAATGTTGTTCTATTAATAGTGTTCATTAATCTAGAAAACATATTTTTTTCAAGATTTGCTGCTTATAAAATGCAAATTATTTATGGAAATTTATTTGCTGTTATTCAAACTGTTAGTCAGGATATATTTTTTGTTTCTCAGATCTCTTCCTTTTCTTATTTACGATTCCTAATATGACCACTCGTAATCACAGTTTATTGGCTGTTCCATTTCATTGTACAAATTATGAATATTACATTTCTGTCTTTCGCTTATACAGGGTGTACCAATAAAAACTCCTTGGCCGGATATTTTGGAAAGTAATAGAGATATTTTATTTCTGTAAAAGCCAGTTCACAGAGCACTAAGAGAGCTTCAGTTTTAGATACAAATTGATTTTAAATACGTCAATATATAGATGGCGCTGCGCTCAATAATTTTTTTTCGATGGGAGGATCTTTCATGTGTTCTATGAACTAATTCGATAAATCTAGCCATTTTTGATATACAGAGTGGGTCACTCAAAACAGTTTCATCCTGTTTTTCAGCATTATTCATTGGATTTTAAGAAAACAGGTCGATTTCTATTCCAAATTAAAAACATTTTTACAATACAGACATCTGTCATGTGTCAACCCCCTACCTTGCACTTCTCCAACACCTTAACTTTAAATAGGTAATGTACCATGGCACATCATTGAAAAGGTAATTTAATGGGGAATTCAGAAATATTTCTGTATATAGCGTTACTTAAATTTTATCGCCCTCTAGCGGGATAAAAAACTAATACACGTATTATAAAGTGTGACACTACAATGTGTAATATATCATTAAAAAGGTAATTTTATGGGGAATTTAGAACTATAACTGTTAAGTGCGATACTTTTAATTGTACCGCCCTCTATCGGAATAAAAAAATGTACGTATTATAAGTGTGACACCTTATTTGAAAGCAAATTTAATTACTAATTCAATGCACCACATAATATTAATATAAATATCCTCCATATTGCACTTGCAATAGTTTGAAAATTAGTCATACATTATTTTAAACTTTATTTTGTTGCAAGTGCAATATGGAAATAGTTATATTATTGTTATGTAGCGTATAGAATTAGTAATTAATTTACCTTTCAAATGGAGTTTCACACTTTTTAATACATTACAGGTTTTTTATCTCGATAAAGGGCGCTAAAATTAAAAGTATTGCAATAAACAGTCATATTTCTGACTTCCCCATAAAATTACCTTTTCAATGATGTACCGTACATGGTACATTCCTTATTTAAAATTAAGGGGTTGGAGAAGTAGAAGGGAGGGGGTTGACACATGACAGATGTCTGTATTGTAAAAATGTGTTCAATTTGGAATAAAAATCGACTTGTTCTAGCATTTTCTGAAAATCCAATAGTTAATGCCTTATTTGATATCAAAATTTTAATAATTTGAACATGATATCTGTGATTTGTTTGTAAATCCTAATTTTATGACACGTGTTTCGTATTTTTAAAATCAAAATTCATCGATATCAAAAAAGCACAGTCACTTGTTTTCGAATAAATATTTGTTATTGTCGTCTTTCGCCTCCACACGTAACGGTCCCAACGTGCATAAAAAACAATCAAAGAAACAAGGTTTCGTTTATTTTACTCTCCCTTCGACAGCTAAAAGAGAAGCCCATCAAAAAAAAAACTGATAATCACCAGAACTTGTCTATGTCAATACTTGAATAAAAGCTTGATAGTCCGGTCAAAGTTGTCAACAAAAAATCGTAATTTGACAGATCTATATCCATAAAATATATTTAGATATAAATAAAAAATACAATATACCGGGTGTTCAAATTAAAGTGTTACAGTTAAATACCGCCGAAAATATGCATTTTAGAAAAAAAAGTTTTAGACAAAAGTTTTATAGTTTTTTGGGGGAAACATTTTGGCTAAACTCATTTTTTTATAGCTTACCATAATATGGCCATATCGAGCTGGACTTTGTTACTTTGTTTTTTTTTTTAATGGGAATCCCATTTTTTTTACATATTCTTAAAGTACATAAACTTTTGATGGAAATATTTTTTTTTAATGGACTTTTACTTTTTGAGTAACAGGCTACTTGACAATATTGCAGGGCGAAAAAAGTTGGCCATATTATGGTTAGCTATAAAAACGATTTTAGCCAAAATTTTTTCCCCACAGAACTATAAAACTTTCGTCTGAAACGTTTTTTTATAAAAGGCGGTATTTAGCTGTAACACTTTAATTTGAACACCCGGTATAAATTCTTTAGAAATCCCCAAGGTAAAAACAAATTTATTGAAACATTTACAAAACTCTATTCTGGTAAGAATTCGAATCCCCATATTCTCGTTCTACGCACGCTGCCTGACCAACTCAACCATCAGGACCATATAGAGCAACAATTTGGAAATCTGAAAATGAGCACCCCAGTTTACGAAACTGAGGAATGTATTCATACAATATATAGATACAACATATCAATCCCCTTCTGGGAAGATAACTTAGCTAAGAGCATTTCAAAAATTTTTGCTAACAACGTAGATAACATCAAAGTATCTTTTAAATCAATTAATGAACTAGACTCATATCTAGTCAACACAAAAGACAAAACGAATTTGTTAGATAAGAGTGGAGTATACAGGTTGCAATGCAGCGATTGCGATGCCAGTTATATCGGCAGAACTTGTAGATCTCTGGGAGTCCGGATAGGCGAGCACATCAAGAAGCCGGACACATCTGCATTCGGACATCACTTAAGGTTCAATCAACATAATTTCAGCCCAACAAAAAACTCCAAATTATTAGTTAACTTAAACACAAAAAATTTCAATTTATTAGATTTTCATGAAGATGTTGAAATTACTCTCGAAAGAGACAACAATATACTCTGTCTCAACACTCAAGTGAACCTTAACAGAAATTTCATACCACTCTATAGACAACTCAATTAACCCTCTATGATGATGTAGGTCCGAGTCACCCAATACAAGCCTTCGAGAGCCATCCCCTCCTAAACTCGATTTCACCCATCAGAGCCTACCTTTGGGACCATGGTACTCCTTTGTTTAAAACTTTTTTGTTCTCTATTTTGTCTCTTTTAACCATGAGTACGCTTGTTGAGTGATTTAGTAATTTTTAGGACTAAACAAAAGATTCACCTTTAGGGACAGCGGGTTCAGTTGTGCCATCTTGGGTTCTCTGAAAGAATGTTCTGCAGAGCCCGGGCTGGCACATCAGAATCACGCGAGTGACATTTTTGTTTTGTCTTGACATCAAAATAATAATATCATTTATATTAAACATTTATTTAAATTTAACTAACAATAAATTAAATCTTTAAATTCAATAACAAATTTTGATCTCCGTTAACCTCCAATCACTCGAATCACACTCGGAGAAACATGTTCCACACTGAGGTGAACGCACCTCCTTCTGTTGACATTTGACAAGTCAAAGTCTTCAAGTGTCGCTTGTCACCACTGTCATGTGGAAACGGTTAAACAACTTGAACCAAAATGTAGAGAGAAATTTAAATTTGAAAATATTAATATTAATAAAATTATGATTTAGCAAGTTGTAAATATCCCGAAATATATAATTTTGGGAGTGAGGATGACCAGGAACTTGTTGGATACGTTGTGGACAGTAGGTAGACTTTTTCATAATTATAATGTATATAAAACATATAAAAAAAAAACCTTCAGTTTTTTTACTTTGGCCTTCTGCGTTTTACTTTCTTCATATCAAATATTGCATTCTAGATTCAAATTTCAATATATCTTCCACACTCACCCTCTAATTGTAAATTTCTTTAAATTTTAACTAATTTGTTAACCTTTTTTCAATTTTGTGAATAGTGAGGGTGGCATGATTCCTTAATTCCACACAAGCTAACTTGCTTCTGGAGATCAGATTTGATTTGTAAGGGCTTATCCCACACTCACTATTCTCAATACCAGTTTTTTGTCACTTTGTTTGTTTCTTGTAATTTTTAATTTGTTCAAACAATTGTATATATACTATTTTAACTTTTGACTTAAAAGTCTAATTCAGATTTTATAATATATTTTTTTTAAATCTTTTTAAATTGTAAGTTTACATCCACAATTTTTGTAGATGAGCACTGATGATGGCAAATAAGCCGAAAGCGCTTTGCATTGATTAATATAAAAGTTTTGCACGAAATACAAGTTTTTCCTTTTGAATATATAAAAATTAAAAAAGATGAACTGAAAAAATGTGGCCCAGTCAGGAATTAAACCAGGATCCTCGAGTTTGCGCCTCACTGCCTTACCAATAGTTTTTCGGAACCTCAAACCGTTTTCATTTATAGAGTAAAATACAATCAAAATAATCTCAAAGCTTGCCTCACAATAATATGGACGGCCGACAATAACTACTTTGGTCCCAGAATTACTTTCTTCTTAGTAAGCAAAATCAAAAGTAGAACCTTGAAAATATTTTCTATCTCTGCTTTTTTTTGACGTAATTTAATACCTGGTGAGGTATTAGCCAAAGGAGTAGTTGTGAAAAGAGAAACGGCCGCCCATATTATTTATTGTGACGTATGGCTTTGAGATTATTTTTATTTTATTTTATATTTAGGTCACATTTGAGTTTGGAATTATTTCCTTTACCTCGTAATTGTCATAAAAATCTAAAAGAGGATATTTCTGTTCAATTCCTTGTTATAATATGATACGGTACTGGTTTTGCTGAAGATTGTACTATTATTAAGGAATCATTTATAATTGTTAAAATGAATATAATGGAGGTAAAACCTCCAGAGCTCCTAAATGCAAAACTAAACTTTCCAACAAAGGTAAAGTATTTAGGTATATAAAAAAACAAAGCTCAACGTGTTGAGTATGCTTTAGATTCTTAAACGCCAACATAAAATAGGCTGTAAGCAAAAGTACCAGTGTAGTTGTCAGAAATAGAAATTATCAGCTTTGGCCAAAGTATCTATCAACAGTGTGTTCACCTTAAGATGATTCAAAGGCTACCCCACATCGAAAGGTAACCTTCTTACTGTTTCATTAGACAAGAATAATAATTTTTGGACCCCATTGGACTAACACCATCAGTTCTAATTAAAGAAATAAGAAGCTGCAGAGTTGCTAGGGAGTTTTTACATTATCCTGACAACACTGCAGCAAACAAATACTTAACTATGACTAGACAGGTATCTGCGGCTGATCACAGCCATTCATATTGGTTATTGCCCAGTACTGAAGCACTTCTACATCATGGAGCTGTTGTAGACTCCGCACTCTCAAGTAGGTGCGAACAAGATGATTTTACTATCGATCAGATCCTCTATGAGTGCCTGACGATCTCATTTATTAGGAGATTTGTGTTCGGTGAACATTTACTAATACTGACCAACATAAGAGATGCACGACGTTGTCGACTAGATTAAATCAATCAAGAATTGTAGGAAATTTCTAGTAAAATGTGGTTTCTTCTTTGTTTAGGAATAAGTACGATTTAGTAGATATACGAGTTTAAATAAATTCAATCCTCAATCTTTTTTACCGGACTATATGTAAATACACTGGACCAACGTGCCATCATCGTTAAGAATCTCTTTGACCGTTTACATACGTGTCAGTAGATGTTAACATGGCCTGTTAAAACAAATAATCGACAATTTTGACGTACGACCCAGTAAAATTCCAATTCCCTAATTAAGTTTTCAGGTCGTCGCTTTTATTCCGATTATTTATTGGTCTTAATAATATACAAATTATTCCAAAGTGGAGGCTGATGACGGCTTTTTTTTTCTTTTCGTTTTTCCAAGTTAAGTTTAAACGAGCTTAACAAATATGGTTGCGTACTGTAGACGATCAATTTACATAAGTTTAAGTTCGTTTTTTGCATTGCAAATTCATAGAAATATTTACTTATATGGATGATATCTATGTAGTCCACTCATACAGTGCACGGACATTGCAACAAATGGGGAAGAATTTTTTAGTATCTTATATAATATTTTTGAAGGTATTGAACACGTGACTGAACCTTGCCTCCTTGAATTTTTCAGAGAAAAGCTTGTGAGTAAAAAGTAGTTACAAAAGTGATTATTTTGTGTTTTTTTTTTAAATTATACCCAAGTTATGCGACTATATTTTTCATCTGTTGAAACCACATGAGTTTCCAATAAAGTTAAATATTCTCCCGGATAGAATATAAAGTGGGAGGTTTAGTTTAGACCACGCTGACCAATTGATCGCTTTCCTCAGTAAACTATCTTACATGTGGATTATCTCATATGTGGATTACCCCCTAGATCCTTTTCTAGGATCATATATGTGTTGCTAGGACAGTAACAAATTTCGTATTAATTTTTTGACTTTTTTGACTTGGATTTTAAAAATGTTATGCCTGATAATGGTCATTGATCGTAATTAATCGCTTCATCCCTATTCAATAAAACATTTTGTGGTTAAGGTTAAGACTTAGAGTTTTCTTTTCCTTTCGTTCAAAAGTTTTTAGAATATAAATTAAAGACAGAATATCTACACTTTTTATTAGAAAGATTTTTTTCGGTTTCTTTTACCATGTATCAACATGTATATTTTATATTTTGTTAAATAAAGTTTATTTGCACAAAATATAAAAATTGCAATTTTGATTTTGACAATAGACCCTGTATTTTTTTACCACTTCAATGTTCAATATTCGTTTTGGAGTGAGGGTAGCCATATGTGAGTAGTAGGGATTAAGTGTAAGGGTTAAAGAAAAGGTCCTTTATTTCTCACAAGTCAATTTAATTGGCGACCGGTTTCGAAGCTGTCACTTCATCATCAGGCACACCTAAATGGAATGTCAAGGAGTCAGTTGTAATAAAAAAAAACAATTATAAAAGCATGAACGGACTTTAACATATACAAAATAACAGAAAAAACAGAAAAAACACAAAAGAAGTTAAACAATATTTAACTTCTTTTGTGTTTTTTCTGTTATTTTGTATATGTTAAAGTCCGTTCATGCTTTTATAATTGTTTTTTTTTATTACAACTGACTCCTAAACAATATTTAACTTCTTTTGTGTTTTTTCTGTTTTTTCTGTTATTTTGTATATGTTAAAGTCCGTTCATGCTTTTATAATTGTTTTTTTTTATTACAACTGACTCCTTGACATTCCATTTAGGTGTGCCTGATGATGAAGTGACAGCTTCGAAACCGGTCGCCAATTAAATTGACTTGTGAGAAATAAAGGACCTTTTCTTTAACCCTTACACTTAATTCAATATTCGTCTTCGAATCTGTTGCGCTTTAGAGCGTTTGTGAAGCTTAATGTGAGTTTGCTTTCCATATGACCCAGGTAGGTAAGACTCCTCTTGTTCGTAATTACTATCCAGAGTCGCTTGTACTATACGTCAATGTATGATTGGACTAATCATTCAATTTGGGGAACTGGTGAATATTATAAGTTATTTATAACTTCTACTAAGATCATAGAACCTCAAGAAACAGATCCCGTCCATGTTTATTATCCACTCTAACTCTATCTTGAACATATTTGCAATATTGTTTTTGAAGCTTGCAAAGTGGGTGTCGAATCCAACTCTTCCTTATTTTTATGGATTGTAGGATGCCTGCAAAATTTTAAAGTCTTGAAAATATGCCCAGAGACTCTGAAATCAATCTCAAATTACAGTTCAGAGAAGGCGATTAGGAAAACAAAGGCAGCAGAATTAATCAGGAGAATGACCACATTTGAAACTGTTTTTTTTAATAGTATTCTGAATCGCAACAATGTTTAAAGGTTTAAATTGACGTATGTTTTGTATTTTAACAGTACTCTTTGTAATGCCAAGACATGGTACAGTTCCCCTTCAGGTGCAGCTCAAACAGTAAATATATTTAAACTATACAAGACTTTGGGATATTCTGGGATGACATCTGTTGACAAAGACTAAAAGCTTTGAGTTTTTTTGAGATGTTGCTGATTACCATCCATGTCTTGCAGCCATATAGTAAAACCCCAGCTTTATGTGTTATTGGATTAGATTTTTGAACCCAATAGATTCTTTAGCATTCCAAAAGCTCTTTCTGATTTTCTAATATTTTTTCAACATCAAGGTCGTTGATATACCCCTATTTTTCTATAATACTTTCTAACTAAAGAAATTTGTGTAATATTTCTAATGGTTGGTCATTTAAAAGAATTGGTTTTCAGGGTGTTTCATAATATATGCGCAGGACTTCAGGACGTGATAGCTCGTCCAAAAATATGAAAAAACGTTTCTATTAACTTACCCTCTAAAATGCACCATTTTCGAGATACAGGGTGATGAAATTAAAAAAAAAAAATTCTACATCACTGGAAAAAGTACGGTTTTGAGACGCCCATTTGAACCACCAATGTTTTCTACACAAAAAAGGTAATCTTGGTCATACGCTCTAAAGTCGACCGTTTTCGAGAAAAATCAAATTTTGTTTCATCAAGTATGTATGTATGTATTTCAACATTAAAATTTGATTTTTCTCGAAAACGGTCGACTTTAGAGCGTATGACCAAGAGTACCTTTTTTATGTAGAAAACATTGGCAGTTCAAATGGGCGTCTAAAAGCCGTACTTTTTCCAGTGGCGTAGAATTTTTTTTTTTTTTTTAATTTCAACACCATGTATCTCGAAAATGGTGCATTTTAGAGGGTAAGTTAATAGAAACGTTTTTTTATATTTTTGGACGAGCTATCACGTCCTGAAGTCCTGCGCATATATTATGAAACACCCTGTATATTGTGCGTTAAAACATACCTTTTTGAATCTCTACTTTCTACTTTCAGGCAATCTATATCCGCAGAGGTTATCCCTTCCAGATATATTTTCTCCATTGCTTCGACTACCATTATGTTTTAGTTTTTGTTTAGTCAACTCTTTTTTCTTCAGGGTTGTATTTTATTTCCATATCCGTTAACACTATACGTGAGTGATCCACAAAAAAATATTTCAAAATTTTTTCTAATATCTACTTTAGAAAAAAAAATTTGTGGATCACTATATTAATTCTCATCTACATAATATTGTCTCAGCGTTCATTGTGTTTTTATTTCTCTCTTCGCTAGTATGTTTCTTAGTGTATATGGTTAGACTGTCGTTGCAGTGGTCGTTCCATATTAAAGGGTGTAACTCTCTGACACTTCTTATTTTCCTTGTATTATTTTATTCTGTCGCATCCATTGTTCTTTATACGCGCATATTATATTCATCTGTCAATGAGCATATTTCATAATATATAGTTTTGTCAACTAGAGTTAAAGTAATACTAATTTATTCGTGATATCTCAATAGTTTTTTGATATTTTGAATAATCAGTGGAAGGTTAATCTTATCTTTTCAAACTTGGAGTAGATGTGTGACAAATTTTTTCAGCGAAACTATTCCTAAATTTAGATTTTTCCATTTGTAATTAACTTTCTATACAAACTGTTTGAAGTATACTTACAACCAAAATCGTATCATGCAATCAATTATTAAATTGTAATCTTTTACAATTGCAAAAGTTGTTCTACAAATATCCAATCTAGTACCCTTAATATTTTAGCTTTACATAAATGATTTGCGCGATAAACTTGACTGGACTATATTGATAATTGGTGTTAAAAAACAAACCATTAGAAAGTTGTTAGTTGCAAATTTTTACTTTACATTCATAATTATTATTTAAAAATGCATGATATTTGATTATAAATGAACTTTTTTAATCGCATCGAAATCCAAATGTATGTATTTTTTAATTTAATCCAAAATTCTAACGCCATTCCTCTTGTTTCAGGTAACCATCCTCCTAAAAGACGTCAACGACATGGCTCCGGAATTTATCACCCCCAACGAGACAACAGTGGCTGAAAACATCCCCATAAACACCGTCGTCATGGCAATTAAAGCCGTAGACAAGGACGAAGGAAGAAACGGATACATCGAATACTCCCTCTCCAACGATCCCGTAACCAATGGCGTTTTCACCTTAGGACCCGTTGATGGTTTGTTAAGGGTTGGTGGTAAAATAGACAGAGAGATGACCAGTAACTACACGCTCGTGGTTACCGCGAGGGATAGGGGGGATCCGCCCAAATCGACGAATATGAAGCTGTTTGTTAAAGTATTGGACGAGAATGACAATAGTCCCGTATTTGATCCTAAGCAGTACAGCGCTAGTATCTCGGAGAATGCTTCTATCGGAGCCAGTGTTTTACAGGTTAGTACTAAATAATATATAGTTAAATTCGTCAATTATAGGCAGTAATAAAATGTTTATTATGGCGCAAGTTCGTTGCAAGGTTTATACTATATAATTTTCCTTCTATATCTTTTAAGAGGACAGTTGCATAATATTGGTTTCTATGATTTATTTTACAGAGTGCAAATTTCTTGGGATATATTTTAAATTTAACCACGCTGTCAACTAGAATATTTTGACATTAGATATTGGCCACTAGATATTAGCAGCACAGCAAATAATAGCTGATTTGCCAACGCACAGTGTAAATATTTCGCGTCCTTTTCAAAAGGTTGAAGTAGACTTTGGAGCTCCCGTTTCTAAATGTTATAGAGCAGTGTTCGCTTGCATGGTCACAAAGGCTGTGCACATTGAATTAGTTTCATCCCTCACAACGGAGGCATTTATTGCAACTCTTAAACGTTTTATTTCTAGAAGGAGTAACCCCACCACAATGTATAGCAATAACGCTACTAACTTTCAAGGAGCAATTATTTATCTCAGACATTTATTTTTTTTTTTTTAAAAACCAATTATTAAATATTTTGACATTTTTGTTCGTAAAATCTAACCTATTTCTGTTTATTTTATTTCAAATGTTGTATTCATTTAATAATCTCTAACCCATCGTGATTCAAAAACATTGAGGTAATCTCCAACATACCAGGTATCACTGACCAATATCTGTATCTGTAACGTGTGGACGGCACTTAGGCTTCAGTAGGCCCATTCTGCATCCTCCTAACTAGATAGGCACCTCCTAGCTCGTGAGCCAGCTTACAGATTTAATGTAGTTGACAATGTCGCCAAGAGGTACTTCTCTTATATCGGCTCACTGCCAATATGTATAATTATTAAACAACGTCATTTACCAAAAGGCGATTTCAGTATCTTGCAAGAAAGCATCTCCATGCTGTTTAATTTCTAAATCTTATCAAACTTTTCTAACAGTATACCCTTAATTAACTCAGGTTTTGTACAAATAATAAATTTTTCCCCACAACATCTAGCAAGGGAACAATCAAACTTGAAAGGTACAAAGTCTAACACACAAAGTTATTGGAGATTTAACGGGAATTGTACCTACAATTAAAAGTAAAGTATATTAACTCTTGCAGTTGTAAACTCTACGTGATTCGATAATGGAATGAATTATTTTAAAATAAACTAAAACCACTTGATTTCAATGAATCTTTGTCCCAGATATTTTATGCCTTTAGCGTGGCCCAGTTAGTGATTTGCATGTAGGCACTTGTAATTTGGCGGCAATTTGGGATTGTCAATTCTGCTTACGTGAGAGAATACGTCTTTTTGGTTTACATGATGTCGGAATTTTTAGTTTAGCCTGTAACCATCACTTCCTGTAACAGCTTGTTGCATATTATGTTTTTATGATATGAATACATAGTTTATTGTACGGTTAAAATTATCTTGTTTTTAACAGTCGACATAGGAAAACATTTTATGATTCATACGTTATTTGCAATTCTTGTTTTATTTGCAGGTGTCATCAACAGACATAGACGACAACCTAAATGGCCGCGTCCGTTACTCCATCAACTCAGGCGACGCCAACCGCGATTTCACCATAGCCGAAGACACCGGCGTCGTTCGTGTAGCAAAAAATCTTAACTACGAGCGGAAATCTCGCTACGAGCTCATCGTGCGAGCGGAAGACTGCGCCGGAGACATCAACGGAGCCGCTGTACGATCAGATTCAGCGAAAATCTCGATCGCCGTATCCGACATCAACGATAATCCACCCACGTTCCTCGACTCGCCGTATCTGGCTTTCGTAATGGAAAACATCATTCCGCCGAATGGAGGTTATGTGATTACCGTGCAAGCGTACGATGCCGATACGCCACCTTTCAACAATCTGGTGAAGTATTTCATTAAGGAAGGCGATACTGATATCTTCAGAATCAACGCTTCTACCGGGGATATTTCGCTACTTAGAGCACTGGACAGGGAGATCCAGAATGAATACGTGCTGAGCTTAGTTGCTATGGATACTGGTAAGTTTTATATTATAATTTAAATAATAAATTACGTAGGTATATACACGATTTCGATTTTATTTTACCTTGGCTGAGGATACTAAAACCATTCTCCAGATTTATTTGTACAATAAGTATCAGGAATGTTCTTTACTTTTTTATATATGGGTATATTGGGTTTAAACGTTCCCCACAGGCTTTCGGTGTCCAGTCTCCTTTGATCTATGTCCTCCAACCCATCTCGATCTTCTTATCCAGAGTTTTTTAGCAGTGTTTAATCTACCTCTTGTTATACTGTCTTTCTATCTTTTATTGCACCTCAATTGTTTTAAATGTATCTACCATCCAGCAGCTTTTTTTTTGAGAGAACCATTTGTGTCTTTTAGTTTTGAGAACTGTAGTTGTCTAACTTTTTAATTGCTCCTACTTTTTCACTAGTCTATAAGATATTTCCTGTTCGACACCATCATGAGCTGTATTATTGCAGCAGTTGTCAGATTTTTTAATTGTTTTTAAACATATACGCTGTTATTTTGTTTCCTTAACAGCAATCAACAACGCTTATATTATTATGAATTTTCATTATTTTGAATTATTGTTAAACATATTTTTAAAATGATTTCTCCAGAAGGAAAAATATGACATGAAACTGCAAAAATTAGTGCAGAATTACTGCTCAAAAAGTCTTGCTAGAGATATGAATAAGAGTATCATCTATTTTGCAATTATCGACATGTAAGATAGCAAAGCGATGAATTCTATCGTAATCGATTTTTTGAATGGATTCCTTTACAATCAAATCTGCTTACAATTGACACGTTTTAAAATCGAATCTTTTTTAACCCGCACGTTATGGTAGACGGATATATGATATGTTTTTTTTTGCGAAGAATATTTTATACAATCGATTGTATTTTTACAATCTATTGTATTTTTACAATCGATATTTTTTATAATTAATTTATTTTTCAATCAAATATTTTTTACAATTGATTTTTGTTCCTATCGACATTTTTTACAATCGATTTTTCAATTAATTGGTTTTCTCAATCCATATTTACAATCGAGTCTTTTTATTGTATCTTTACAATCGATACTTTTTATAATTGATTTATTTTTCAGTCGAATATTTTTTTTACAATTGATTTTTGTTCCTATTGACATTTTTAACCATCGATTTTTTTACAGTCATTTTTTTTACAATTAATTGGTTTTCTCAGTCAATTTTTACAATCGAGTCTTTTTATTGTATCTTTACGATCGATGCTTTTTAAAATTAATTTTTGTTCCTATTGACATTTTTTTACAATCGATTTTTTTACAGTCAATTTTTTACAATTTCTCAATCAATTTTTACAATCGAATTTTTTTATTGTATCTTTACAATCGATAATTTTTATATTTGATTTATTTTGCTATCGAATATTTTTTAAACTTGATTTTTGTTACTATTGACATTTTTTACAATCGATTTTTTTAGTCATTTTTTTACAATTAATTGGTTTTCTCAATCAATTTTTTCAATCGAGTCTTTTTACAATCGATTCTTTTTACTCTCGATTCCTTTCCCAGTCAATTTTATTCACCATCTAATTTTATAATAAAATAGTACAAAATGGAGACTTATTTACTATTTTTCAAAATGAAGCGTGTGCGATCCTGGCTTCTCAACCTGTATAACAAATACAAAATGTTAACTGTGGCTCGCATTATAGTAATTGGAAGCTCAGAACTCTAGGAAGTGATATATTGTATACAAATGTGAAAAATCACTTTTGCCCAAGTGATGTACAATATTTTTCTTACGACCACAAAATAATTACATAAAAAGAATGTAAAACCAGGAAATCTGGCTATGGAGGTTCAATGAAGGTATGGCTCGTTCTAGATTTGTCTTTTATAGGCCTAACTGAATATTTTTTATAGTATTTTACGGATGATAAAAAAAGAAAGTTTTTATCGAGAATTTGAACCCACGTCTCGAACTAATACAGTTTAACACTGAGCTATGAAGGCTGTGTAAAGTGAATTATCTAATCAAATGTGTATTAACAAAAAAAAAAACAAAAATAATGTAGTTACTTTTAAATTATTTTAATTGTTAAAAGTAAATATCTTTTCCTACGACCACTTAGGAAAGTGACACATATCACACTATATAGTCCAATGCAAAGTGCCCTATATCACACGCGTATGAATAAGAATTTACTTTCCACCCGTGTACAAATATGCTACTTTCCGCAGCAGCTGTCATAAAATGTCAAACACATCATTTCCATTTTGATCTATGTAATGTCCATATTAATACTAAAATCGATATGATTATTAAATTATTGAAATTGTTGTAAATTAAATCCTAGATATTTATCTTTAACAGTTATTATAAAAAGATATGTTTGCTTTTTATTCTGGTTAAACCACATAACCGATTATCGTTCAATTATCGTAAGGCCTATTAGCTCAGATGGTTAGAGTGTCAACTTTGCCATTCAAGACCTGTCGAGCGACCGCGTTCAAATCCTGGCGGTGCCAGAATTTTCTTTTGTTTTTTATTTTTTTTTGTTTTTTAATTTTTTATTATTTGTTTAAAAAATATGAAAATTGAATAAATACAATTATTGTTGATTATTTTTTTAAATACATTTTAATTATTATAATAATAACCTGGTTTTACATTTTTTGATGAAATTATTTTGTGGTCGTAGGAAAAATATTGTACATTACCTGTGTGAAAAGTGATTTTCCACACTCGTAATGTAATATGCTATTGATCTAGGTATAATATCCAAATCAAGTACATTATTAATATGAACATTACATCGATCGAGGTATAGATCATATTAGAAATGATATGCGTCTTGCATATTTGACAGCTGATGCGGAAAGTATATTATTATCCACACGCGTGTGTCATTTTCCTAAGTGGTCGTAGGAAAAGACCATTGTAGACGACACATTCGGGTTTACTTTATGCGGACACCCGATCCTGCGTCACTGAGTCTCAGTCGCAAACATGAAATGTCACGAAGTAGAGTTCTCACGATACTGCGATTAGCATCTACATTACCGATTGTAACGAATGGAGACAAAGCGGTCTCTTCTTCAATCTTAACTATTTCTGGTCCATCGGATACTTTATTGAGGGGTGATGGCGCATTTTGTCATAAGGTCGCGGGTCAAGATTCGATCGACAACGACGGTCTTGCTCTACAGGGTGTCTCCTTGACTTCGGTATAAGATAATCGGAGCGATTTTAATCTCCAGTTTTTAATTTTCTTTATAAATAGCCCGTCGTTTACGAGATAGTTTTGACTTTTGATGAATACACGTGGCGTATACTTTTTCTCTCATGACTTATATCTACTTCAAGCTATCTACATAGTTGAATGGAACTGGCCTCTAGCGATTTTTTCTTCTTTAATGAATTTTAAAAATGTTTTCAGATATATCTAATTCAAAAAGAAGAAAATGCCAAAAAATACGAATACGTCAGTAATGGCGCTAATGACAGTTATGTCATAATATGTTTTTTGAAATAATTTATTCTAAAAAGATTTAAGTGTTGTTAACTGTTAAATTAAAAACGTTATGGAGGTACTTTGATGATGTCATTTATTTTGCCATTAAAATAATACAAATTGAAAAAATAATATACATAGGTGTAACTATAAGGTGTTTCCACTCTCAAAAAAAATGGCTACGAGTAAAAATCCGCTAGGTTCCACAGTTTTATTTTTAACCTTAATAGAGTAAGTTTATCTTTTATCAACTGAAAAATGTAATAATTGGCGTCTAATTTTCAACATACCTATATTTAAAATACATCAAAATTATCTCAAAGCCATGCATCACAATAATATGGACGGCAGTTTTTCCTTTGGCTAATACCTAACCTGGTATTGGATTACATCAAAACAAAAAAGCAGATATAAAAAATAATTTCAACACTCTACCTTTGATTTTGCTTACTAAGGAGAAAATCATTCTTGGACCGCTTTCGTCCTTATTAGGACTCTTCAGCAAGAAATTGAAAATCTCGACTCCAGTCTCTAATGGAGTCTTATGTCTATACTAAAATGCAATCGAACACATTAACAGCGGGTTAAGCATGTGTAGATATTCAACGATCGAAAATGGTTTATCGCCTCTATACTTAGTAAACAAAATTAAAGGTCGCTTGAGTGTTGAAATTATTTTCTATCTCTGATTTTTTCTTTTGACGTAATCCAATGCCTGTTGAGGTGTTAGCCAAAGGAGTAGTTATTGTCAAAAGAAAAACGGTCGCCCATATTATTGTGACTCATGGCTTTAAGATTATTTTGATGTATTTTACATCTTATGGTCACATTTGAGTTTGGAATTATTTTCACTAGTAATACCACTAGAGGTCAAATTATTTCCGGAAATTTTTTCGAGCTCATGAATATTTTGAAAATTTCCCGAGTCGCAGACGAGGGAAATTTTCTAAAAATATTCATGAGCGAGAAAAAATTTCCTGATATTAATTTGACCTCGCGTGGTATTCGGTAAGAAAATTCCACGCCGAATTATGGTTGAAAATTAAATATTTTTAAAATTTATTTTTCGTTTCTCAACAATGCAAATTATTTTCTCCAAGTCACCAGTGAAACATTAAAGGTGTTGTCGCCTTGATTGTTGAGTTGTCATGGTAACTAAGTGAGACCCTAACCTCGAGCGGCCGGACGTAAAAAAATGTTTCGCTGCAATTATTTAGGCCTTCAAATTGCTTATTTCTACTCATTGTAGTTGCATGGGAATACCATTTGAAAATAGAAAATAGTATATTCTTTAATTTTACGTAAGTTTTGAATAACTAGAAGTGGTAGAAAATTGTTTTTCTGCGTTTTTATTAACATGCGTTATGAGCGCTTTAAAATGGTATGAAATTCATAACCAGCGTCAGCAAGCATCAATCGTAGGAGGCTGTGATCATTGTATTTTGACAGTTCAAAACATTAAATAACTCGCGTTTTGTTGCGATAAAGAATATTGCACAG